TGCTGCCACTGCCAGACAAAAAACCGACGACAGCTGTGGTTAAATGCGATAAAACGAGCAGACTGGACAGAAACGCTGTCAAAAATGCTCGCGTTTGCAGCGCACACTTCTTATCAGAAAAGGTTCAATAAAGTGTTGTCTTTTGTTGTTATGGGCGCATCTACAGATTTCTTGCCATATGTCTATGTTTCTTGCATACACTATGTCGTGTATGAAATAATGTCTGTCATTTGTAATTGTATATACATTGTTGTGATTAATTGTGGCTGGAACAATAATGTAGCTGTAAAAATAGTTGCCTGCTGAAATTGAAATGTATATACATCTTCATCATGACTAGATAGACACGGTGAGTTTGTCTTTACTATACACGCTAGATGTACCTCATAGTAACAATCCTGTCAGATCGTCCATCCTTTGAGTGTGAGATCACACATCTCTCTGTGTGTGTGTGTAGGTAACAGCATCCTGCACGAGGCAGCAGACAGTGTGAGCAGCGCGGTGCAGAAGGCCAGTCAGGCGCTGAACGAGCGCGGCGAAAGACTGGGACGCGTGGAGGAGAAGACGGGCGAGATGATGAACAGCGCCCAGCATTTTGCCGACACTGCACACAAGGTAAAGCGTGCCGCATGTCTGTCTTTACTCTTTGCCAGTGTCTGCAGATTTTACTCCAGTGAAAAAGCATTTGTGTTGCTCTGCTGCCTTCATGTGGCGACTGCATGAAAGAGACGCACCTACAGTAACAGTACTGTTCAACACTTCGGGCTCAGTAGGATTTTTTAAATGTTTTTGAAGATTTTCTGCTCACCAAGGCTGTATTTATTTGCTCATAAATACAGTAAAAACCGTAATATTGTGAAATTGTATTATAGTTTTAAATAACTATTTTCTATGTGAATCTCTGTTAAACTGTAATTTATTGCTGTAATGCGCAGCTGAATTTTCAGCATCATTACTCCAGTCTTCAGTGTGACATGATCTTCAGAAATCATTCTAATATGCTGATTTGCTGCTCAAGAAACATTTCTGATTATTATCAATGGTGAAAACAGATGTGCAGATTAATATTTTTGTGAAAACCTAAATAATGTTTTTTTTTTCAGGACATTATAAATAATATAACATTGAAAGCATAACATTTTAATGGTTTAATTGTAATGTAATGTTAACATTAATATGTTTTTACTGTCACTTTTGATCAATTAAATGCATCCTTGTTGAATAAAAGTATTGAAAAGTATTAAAAGTATTTTATAAAATATTTTGAAACGTAGTGAACAAGCATGCAAGAGACAGGAGATTATGTAGCGATGTTTTTTTTTTTTTTGACATTTTGTGCTGTGTTTGTACAGTAGATTAGCAGTTCTCTCTCTCTCTCTTCAGCTTGCCATGAAGCACAAGTGTTAAGCCTTTGCCATATTTTTGGAGAATCTGGTACAAATTCCTCACCCCCGCTCAACCTCTGCTATCAGAGAGCGTTACGGGACGTGCATGAAGTATCATATGAAGGACAGTGTGTATCAACATGGCTGTAGCCTTGAAAAGATCATGCCTCCTGTACACATGGATAGTATTTGTGGTCATTGTAAGCTTAAACAAAGCCTTATTTCTGTGTCCTCACTCTATGACAGACCTGTATTATCATTTTAAATTCTTAAAAAATATGTAAAATAGTTCCGAGGTTCAAAGGCCTGCTGATAGATTCTAGATTGTTTTAACATAATGATTGTTTGATCAGTGCCATCATAAAAGAACTTTAGTGAAATTTTAAGAAATATGTTTTTTGTAAAAAGGGTTTTGTGTAAATCTCTAAACTTGTTCTTTTTTGACATCATTTTGTTTCATGTCACCATGTGCAAAAAAAAGGCAGATTTTTGCAATTATTTTGCTGATTTTCTTTGTTTTGCTTACTAAAATAAAGTTCTAAAAGGCTCATTTTAATGGCGCAGTGACCCACATTTTAAATAATATAGCCTGATGCGTAGCAAAATCTACAGAACTGTCCTGAGAAAAGACCAGATTCACATGCTGCACATCACACTGTGAGATGTGTTACGCTGCAGTTCAGGAAGGGTTGTGCCTTAACTGGATGAGAGGAGACGGTGAGGAGATGCAGCCGATCCGGTCAGTCTAAGGCAGGGGTAGGCGAGTTCGGTCCTAGAGAGCCACAGTCCTGCAGAGTTCAGCTCCAACCCTAATCAAACACACCTGAACAAGCTAATCAATGTCTTCAGGATTACTAAGGCTATAGGCAGGTGAGTTCTGAACTCTGCAGGACTGCGGCTCTCTAGGACCGAACGTGCCTGCCCCTGATCTAAGAAAACATCATGCAGCTATGGTCAGTGTTGGGGAAACTTACTTTTAAAAGTAATGCATTGCGTTACTCCATAAAAAAGTAACTACATACGTTACTTAGTTACTTTTTGTGGAAAGTAATGTGATACGTTACTTTTGCGTTACTTTTTAAATCTGGACAGGGCTTGCTTGTTTGTTTTTAAAATAAAAAAGTTCTATTTTTGGCAAATATAAAAGCCTTTTCACACCAAAAGTGAAATGAATAAGCCTCAGGCTGAAGGGAAAGTAAATTTAAGTCCGTACAGTAGAATGCAGAAGAAGAAATTTCAACACACTTCAGCAATAAAAAAAGACACACGGATGTTTGTCTAGACTCTAGAGTAGTTTTTGCTTATTAGTACGGTTGAACTGGATCATCGAAGCGCAGAAGCAAAGACATTGGTTAATAGAATGGGATTAAATACATAAAGGATATTTGTGTTGTTTAACATTTAATTATTGCAGGTTTGCGTCATATTCTGAGTTGCATTATTTTTATTCATTTTGAGGAATACTGAATCTGTGGTTTTTTGGAGGTTTTGTGTGAGTGAGATGAATTAATGCATATTCATATTTATTTTAGAACTACAGGAACATCTTCTGATTTCT